TTGTTGTTGTTTCTTATGGATGTCATGATGAACTAATTTTGGTTTCTTGTTGAGGTTGGCTGTGGACATGGTCATGATATATATATAAATGGACATACTTCAAATGAGGATTATGTGCCCTTTGAGTGATTAATTTGATGGGTAATATAATGTATTTTGTGTTCAATTTATTTTTTGATCCTATTTTATGAATGGCACATGTTAATGATAATGTAGATCATCCAACTGAATGAAATATGAATTGAAAGCAGATGATTTGGAATTCAAATCTTTGTTTGGACAGGTTAAGTATATATTTGGCTAAGTAGTGAGGGTGAAGTGCACTTTAAGGGCGATTCTAAGTGGCACTTAAAGGTAAAATGTACTTCAAGAGGGGCGAGTCTAAGTGTAACTTTGGTGAAATTGCATTTCAAAACGAGTAATAGTTCATTAAACTTATAAACTAAGTTCAGTTGTCCTATAGAATCAGTGTGGAACAACTAACAAGTAATATACTCGAGTACATCTCTTACTTTTGAGTTCTTCTCTAACCGTCCCAGATTAGGCTCGATTAGCATAGAGTGGTACAAGATGGTCATCACAGATCGTAGAACTGCTATGATACCATATTAGTTTATATATTCCGGGAAAATTGTGCGATCCTAACAAGGGTAGCGCACCTAAGTGCGAGTCTAGTTGTGATCTTAGTGAAGTTCACTTCCAAACCTAATTGGTAATATGAGAAGTAAGCCACTTGACTGTAGCTTATGTGATTTGTGAATATAAAAAAGACAACTTAAGGAGAATGAAGACAATGAAACAAAAATCAAAGACGAGGCACGTAATAATTACGTTCTCCCTCTGTAAAATACTCACGGTTAACAGCAAACGCCTCCAAGATACAACGACTTCCGTTTTGTATATAGTGATACTTCAAATATACAAACTTTCAGCGAATACAACTATTATATGGAACTCTCAAGACTCAATGAAAAATTAAGAACACAATATGCTATATGATCTTTGAAAAGTAATGCAAGAGCTCTCTAATTTTCCAGTTATGAATGGTTTCATGTATGTGGGTATTTATAGATATAGGAAAACACCTCCAAGAGGTTTAAGTGTCAAAAGACACCTTTTGGAACGTACTCGAATGAGAATGGACGCATCTAGAGACTAAAAGACACCTTATAGTCACCAAAGGTTGTGACCTTTCGGTTTCCGCAGCCAGCTGCGCTCCCGTGCGCCGCGGGCTCGTACGAGCTCATACGGACGCGGAATTGAGTTCCCTTTTTTTTTTACTCGTCCCCAACGAACTCTTTTAGAGTTATAGCATGCAAGTTGTATGATCAGCTCTCATTTGGATTATCCTAACATTCGTCAAAGACGGAATATTTTATGAATTCAATAATGTCTGAACCTAGATTATTAATTATTAATATATCAATATTATTTGTCCAAACCTAATTACGAAGCATGATTCTTTGCCAAGTAGGATTCTGAAACACCAGAAACAACCACGTAGGCTCAGCAGATTCGGAAATAATATATAGGGAGGATATTAAATAATATATATGTAGTTAATAAAGTTATAAGAATTGGAAATTTATAAATTATCACAAGAAAATGATTAAGTTTATTTGTAAATATATTCGAATGACAGTTCCAATGAAGAATTTCACTATTATTACTCTCGTTAAAATCTTTCAAAATTCAACTGAGAATATTATGTTTGGTCATTAATTTACAGCTGTACAAAAGAGTATTATGTTTAAGGATCAATAGACATTTTATTTTATTAGTGCATGTGATTGCTTTAAGTGTAGCTCAGTGCACAAATACAATGATAAAGAGATGTTAAACAGTTATTGATCCGGAAACTCGGCTTATTTAGCCCGAAGATATACATGGTTAGGGTTTTTTAATTAATAATAACCTTTTAAATCCGGGTTTTATAGACCTGGACCGTTTAGCCCCCAAAAAAGTCCACTAGAGCTAACCCGTTTAACTTAGATTGGGCTGTGTAAATGCCTAAATCAAGTACAGAATAAATCCTAAGATTCATTATATATTACAATTTTGTCATTCTACTTCAAGCGTAATTGTGAGCTATAACATGTTATTATGCTTTTAAGAGATAATTATGAACAATTTTGTTATTCTACTTCACGCCATAATATATAAGCCAATTAGAACGTCTAATAAGAAACACATAAAACAAATACTTAACAAATAGAATATAGTGATAGAATATAAAATCAGTGATAAATGATACAATATCGTGAAAATTCTCAAAACATACAAAATAACTAGTAAGACAATAATAATAAATAATTGTTTGAATTTTTTTTTTTTTCTTTTGAGAAAAAGTATGTTAATTAAGAGTTTATAATCAGGGGCGAAACTATGTATATGGTTGGAGAGGCGCGGGCCCCTCAAAAAAAAAATTAAATTAGGGGTAGAGGATTTTGCTGGAACTGAAAGATTTTCCTTTGGGCGCGCATGTTGGGCCCTCCCCGATTTCATGCGGTACATACATGGTCGGAGGGGCGTCACCGGTTTTGTCATGAAAATTATTTTTAAAGGCAAATTGGGTCCTCCCCGAAACGGGATATTATATTTTGAGTTGGTTAATTAGCCGACTTGCGGTGTACCGACGGGACTCAAAAACCGAGTCGATCATTACCGAAAAATACTTTTATGAAAGTACGGGAAGCGGAGAGTGCGTTGGTGGCATCGATTTATGATTTTGAGGTCTCAACCATTTATTTTGGGTAGCCCGAAGTTGAGAGAAAAATGATAGTGGCGGTGATTTCATTGTCATTTTCATGTCTAGACTTCGGGTAACCGTCGGCCCTCGTTAGGCATGCTAAAAATTAGCGGGAGTGCTTTCTTGAAAGCACAAGAACAGTAGAATCCGTTCGTAAAATTTATTTCACGTTTCGAAGTTTCGAGCATTTATTTTGAGAAGCTCGAAGTCGAGTGCGCATAATAGAAGAATAAAATACCGTTTTGCGGGG